TTACAAGAGTTAATCTACTCTTGTAACTCAGCCTGCCCTAAACAAGCTTAACATTTTGCTGAAGGTGGTGAAGGTGGCTGGGGGAAACAGAATCTGTGACTGAAAAGAGACAAAAGACCCACACTGCTAATGGAGTCAGTCACTGTGTGGGATTTAAGGATGATGAGATTAATTGGACATTTTGGCCACATCTGAGGGACATGGTACTGAGTACGAGGGGCAAAGTTTAGACTATGCAGGTAGAGCAACAAGAATGAGTCCCTGTATTAAAGGGTTAATAATTGTTATTAATATTAAGCTATGAAGAAGCACTAGATAAACTATGGCTCTTCAGCCTTGAAAATAAATGTATCAGGGAAGCTTCTAGATATCTTTAATGGGATAGAGAACGTGAACCCAGAATGGAATACACACACTCTCCCCAGAAGGACACACCCTGCATACCTAATTGTAGGGAACTATAAGGCGCAGTTTAGCAAGAATCAAGGATTTTGGACACCACAGTGTGCATTGGGGAATTGCTGAGGTTTAACCAACTAAAACCGAATAGCTTGCCCTCAAAAGGCAAGCTTTGCCACTGCTTGTCCAGCTAAGGCCACCCTATCTTTTAGGGTTTGAGCTTTCAGGGTTAACAGGAACCGAGTGGGCAGAATTTCTGCTCCCAGTGCCCCTCCAAGTGCTGCTGATGAGCGAGGCTGGTGTAATCAGAAATAACAACCCGGGCAAGGTTGCTTGACAAGTATAAAATGGAATAATATAAAACTGGTCGTCTCCATACTGTGCACATGAATAGTCTTTCTCTGCATGATTTTGATCTTTTTAATAATGGAATCTATTTGTCACGATTTGATAGAAATGTACTTGTGCATTTGGGCAGGAGGAAGATATGTTGTCAATTCATAGCAATTCATCAATTCAGCAATTGAGTGTCATCAGCATCTTAAATAGAGAGCTTCATCATTGCTGGCAGATTTCAAAATGGGTTACAAGCAATGAAATGAACGTTTAACTTTCTATTTTATTCTTAAATGGGGATTTATGAAATGACCTTAAAGGGAAAATGGCTGAGAGAAATCATTGTATCCGACATGTGTGAGGAAGTTGAAATTACTTGGAATAGATACCATCACTGCTAACTCACATTCCTTTGGTGAGACGCTCATTACAGTTGCAGGTGGGCTGAATTCTAGTCCCTTAGATGCACCGGTATGAGCATCTATTCATTAGTCACTGGTCTAAAATGGTCTGTCATCTCTCTTGACCTCCATCAAGGCTTCCATTTTGGAGCACTAGAATCCAGAGCCTCTTCAGAGAGGAGTAACAGTAATAATAATAACCCTTGTATTTGATATAGTGCCTTATCCCGTCTTCGAGATGCCTCAAAGTGCTTCACAGAATGTATTGTAAAGTAAATTGACTGTATATTTTGTGGGTGAAAAGCGGCAGCCAATTGCGTACGGCAGTGCCCCACAAACAGTTCTGGATTAAGTGACCAAATTATTATTCTTGTAAGGGATTATTACCCGACTAACAACAGGGTTCCTATTTACTGATAGCTGTTCCTATTTACGCTAGAGGCGTGTGGAGTAACGTTTCACCCTGCAGGGAACCAAACCCAAGGTCTCTCGCTTGCAAGGCGAGTGCTCTAACCAATAAGCTACAGGACTCCACAAGCTAGCAATATTTAGCTGAAGTGATCTTGCTGAGTGGCTCTCTGATGGTGAACTTGATCCCTGAAGTTGTTTACCCCACTTACCATTTTACTCCCCACTATTGTTGCAGTGCAGGCAATTACTTAGCTTTTGCTGTGAGAGTGTAAGAATAATGGGAAAGAAGTCAGGCAGAGTCTCGCTGCAATAATAATAATAATACTTGCATTTATTATTGTACCTTTCAAGTCGGGAGGAGGACATCTTAAAGTATTTCACAAGATTTATTATAAAGGGTAGTGACTGTATGGTGGAGGAAAACATGGCAGCCAATTTATGCATAGCAGTGTTCTGCAAACAGCCATGAAGTGAATGACCATTTTTTCTGGGGGATTGTTGTCCAGGACACAAAGAGAAGCACCAATGTCTTTTCAAATAGTGCCACGGTATCTTTAATGCCCACTGAACAGGAAGACAGGAGCTTGGGTTTATTTCTCATCTGAAGAAAGGCACCTCCAACAAAGCAGCACCCCTACCCTCATCCCCCCCCTCCCCACACACATGCACCCACTACCACCACTACCACCACTGTTTGGGAGTGTCCTGATGTGAAAATGAAGGTTAAAAAAAGCCTCATCAATAACCTAATTGTACAGTGTTGAAAATATATGAAACTACAATACAATAGAAAATTACATTTGTATACCACCTTTCACATCGGAGGACATCCCAAGGCTACTGCTGTAGAAAGCAGACCGTTTGCCGACAAAAGACAGTCCACTACACTTCACAGTTTGTCCTGTGAAGCCCTTTGTGTTATCACTCCGAACATGAAAGATGGTATATAAAATGTAAGGATTATTATTACCGTTTATCACAGTCTGAGATGAGTTCCTGGTCCAGGCTATCAGAGTGCTTTTCCACTTGGTCTGTTCGCAGGCAATCTCCACAATGCCAGCGCAGTAACACTGAAAGCAGCTTACCCAAGCCTTCGTTCACCACTGGTGGAAGCAGAGCTGATATCACATCATTCGCAACAACTCCTCTCACAAAGTTGAAGCGAAAACATTTCAAATGTCGGTTTGTTCCATTGTGCTGAGGCAGTGTGACCAGTGACTGATGAGAACAATAGCCTTTCAGTCAATGTTTGTTTCAAGGTTGAACTCTGATCGGATGACGCGGATTGGAATATTAATCTTTTACTTGTAGGATGGCGAAGAAAATCTAGAAGATTCCATTCTCTCGTGGCTATTGAGGTCTCCAGGAAAATTAGTTCAGGCAATCTGGATTCAATTGAGTTCCTTGTGAATATATGCCTACAACAAAAGTATGGCTCATCATCTAGTCCAGAATAAATACTTATGTGGTATATTCCTTTTGTAGTCTTTGAATAGTTTGATAAAGTATTGTTTGAAAAAGCATCCGGGGAAGGGAAGAATGGCCCTGATCCTCGAATGGAAACAATCAAACTTTTTAAAATGTCAAGTCATCATATATATAGTTTATATAATAGTGACCTATTATAACTTATATATTTTATTGCTGAATGGATTAATTTCAGGATCCTCATATTCGTGTATAAATCACATCATGCCTTGGCACCTCCCTACCTCTCCAACCTGCTTACACCCCACTCCACTACTCACTGCCTTCACTCAGCTGGCTCTTATCTCCTGCACATCCCTTGTTCCTTCCATTCCTCCATCAGTAGCCATGCTTTCAGCCATTACGTCCTAAACTCTTACTCTCAATTCCTTCGCCTTGCCTCCTTGTCCATCTTCAGATCACACCTGGAGATCTTCCTCTTTTGATGGTCAGCTGCCCCTCTCCCTCAACATCAAGCTCCACTCCTGTTAAGCACTCCGAGATGCTAACCCGCATAAAGGGCACTATATAAATGCAAGTTGTTGTTGTATTGTAACCTACTGTTACAATAAGTAGACCAAAGCTTGGGCTATATTCATAATTTGTTCTACTACAGAGTGGTGCAGTGAAAGTGAAATCCTCATATTGACCAGGCTATCAGAGAAAGGAGCCAGAGCAGTATATTCAAGTAATTTCCCAGTGTGTGTTGGGGAAGATGGGCCAAGAAATGTTTGTGCAGATTCCTCTAAGGACAAAGGGAAACATGCCCTTGGTCACTCTCCACCACCTCTTCTGCTAGTTCCAGAGGAACATTATTAAACACAAGTGAGCATGTCCCTGGTCTTCTCAATAGGGATCGGTACATGGAACATTGGAGGTGTGGACATAGCAGAGTTTTTAAAATGTAGGAAGAAATAGAACATTTTCATTTTGAGATATTAAGTGTCCGTTGCACAATTCTGAGTTTAATATCCTTTGTTTTTTCTTTGGCTTTGCATGATTCCAGGTTGCTACAGTTTTCAATTGGGCACCCAGTAGTTTTGGCATAAGTTGGGAAGTTTGAGGTATAGATATTAGATCTTTGCTCATTAGATGAATCAATCTCTGCTTATCCAGGTGTATGTTTACCCAGGCAGGTATTCTTACAGCAGATAAGTGTAATCTGGGCAGTACCTTCATCTTGATCACACTCACTCTACCCAGTCATGAAATGTATTCTTTTCCGATTTTTGCATTCACCATTGGTCCCAGAAGCCATTTGCTGATATTTCAAGCAATTGGTGGTAATAGGATATCAAATGGGTGGAAAATGCTTTATATTCTGCTGAATTGAATATAAAGCACATCAGGAATGAAGCACTGAAACATAGTCCGTGCCCAGTCAAGAAAGCAGCAGATATCGTGCCTAAAGTTGGCAATGCGATCGCAGAAATTGATGCGATGTGAAAAGAACAACTATGATTATTTTTAACATGATTTCACTTTTTTTTAAGAAAAAAGCATTTGAAAGAGCTCTCGAGTTCTCCTTGCTTGCTCAGGAAGAACGTTCACCATGCTATGACACCAACCCCCTCTTTTGTTCTGTACTGAATAAATACATTCAGTGAAACAAAGAATAACTGTTAAAACATATTTAGTATGCTGATGGCTTGGTGTTTTGTTACTGCCTTTAGCACGGTACAGTATCAGTACTGTTCTAGTAAGAGAATTTGCATGTGGCAATATATCAAAGAATGTTGTAATTTTTTGGGGGTGGGGGTGTCCTTAGCTACACAAGTTTAATTGGGAAGAGTACCTGCATGATTAGAAGGCGAAACCTTTTACTTCAGGGATATACAAATATTGTAAAAAAAACGCTATTTAGTTGCTTCTATTCTGTGTAATGAGTGTTAATGTGACTAAGAATTACTTTGTGAAAAGCAGTATTGTACTGGCATGTGTTTTTGGAGGCCTGTATTCATAGCTTATACTTGTTATTTGCTACAGCAGAGGCAGATGTTAATCAGAACAATGGATCTCCCTCAAAGGAGAAGAAGGTGGTGGTGACAGACTCCAAGGATGATGGGGAACCAAAGAATGCCTGGAAGTCACCCAACACAGCTGAGGCAGCTGCTCGCCCACACTTGGTCCGCCTCTTTTCCCGAGACGCACCAGGACGCGAGGACAACACCTTCAAAGACCGCCCATCGGAATCAGAAGAACTTCAGACCATCGAGGAAGATAGCTCAGTATCCTTGGTCAGCCCGGACTTGATGGAAGCGCAGAAACTGGCCTCACAAACATCAACTAGTTCAGAGAAGAAAGGATCAGTAACAAAACAAATGGCATCTGCAAGCACCTCAGACCACGCTAAACAAGCTGGAGGATCCCACTCAAGGCAAAGAGACTCAGGTCTACTTGACCAGCTGGGAAAACTGTTTGGACAAGAAGGATCCAAGAGAGTACCTGAGAAGGGCAAGGTGAGCTCGGAGGGATAGAGGGCTGAGCAGGAGCTTAAAACCCTCAGTGGAGGGTTCCATAAACTGCCTCAGTCTCAGCAAGGGTTGAACTAGCCAGTGATCTTTAACATTCAGTTTTAAGTTTTGCTGGTCTTTTATCCCTGGTGTTAATATTTTCAAATAATATGCTTGTGTATGTTCATTATAAAATAATTTTGCTCCTTCGCATTTGTATTAAAAATGCAGCGCATGTGGAATATCCGCAAGGTTCAGCAACTTCTGTCTTACTTTCTCTGTTTAGATAAGTATTAATATTGTAAGAGGACTGTGCACGTTTAATCTAGATATTAAGCGATTTACTGACGAACAAAAGCATGGTGTAGGACCTGAAGTAGATATGTGAACTGTACAAATTTATGAGGACCTTGCAGTTTCTGCAGTTACACTAGATCATAAAATATTCCATCAATATTCTATAATGTTTCAGTTAACCTTCTGTGGGTGAAGAACAGTAACAAAATGCAAGAAGCTTAATTGTCTTAGATTGTTATTTAGCTGCATTAGAAGCAAAATAAGTGATCCCTGAATCAAATCAGTTGCTAGAAATAATACTACCAATGCTGTAAGGGATATAGATTCCCACAAAGAACAAGGGATTCGAAAATGAATGGGGGTATGGCAGGGAATAGGTTAGTTTTAAATTATTGGAAAATATACTGACCTTGGGGAATGAGAGTCTCCGATTCCCCTCTCGTCAATAAATTGACTGTGTTGGGCTTGTATTGGGATTTTTCACACAATAGGCGTGAATTTCTAATCAAAAATAGATTTCCCAACTTGGGGAAGCAAATGGGTTCAATTCTCAATAAATTGGTCAGTAAATTTATCGATATTCAGAGAATGACCCCAAGGGCTCATCCCACCAATTTGGCAAAGCTTAAGTCCTATACACCCACTGTGTAAATACCCATTCTCGTCTTTTGTCTGTTCATCCACATAGTCAGATTGGGCTCCAGTGAGCAATTCAATCACTTTCAATGTTATTTAAAAAAAAAGTTCTGTGCTCATACTGCTGAGATTGTTGTTTTTGCATTTACCAATTAGTTTAATGAGTTTATTGATAACTAAGAGTGTAGTTCCCTCTGATTTATGTTAGTGAGACAAAAGCCTTATATCAAAAGCAAGGATTATTTTACATATCATAATGTCATTTTAGATATGCAGTAAAATGATTGCCTTTTCAAAGCAGGTCCTCTAAAATTTGTAGAGAAAAATGTTTATTTCTTGCAAGTTGTCTTCTAGTTAAAAAGCTGTATAGCTCAATGGGCTGGCATGCCATCCTTTAAAGTCTTAATGCTTATAGGGTAGGGTGAACAATGAATGAAACCAAGGTCTGTCTTTAAAATATTTGTTTCTCATTGTTATTTGGATTTCTTAATATTTTTGTGCGTGAATGTCATTCTAAGTGAGTTTCGACTCAAGCGAGGTAGAATCAATAAGATGGGTTGGGGGAATTAAACAAGCTTCAGGTATCTAGTTTTGTAGCATTGTATTTGTGGTGATAACTGTATTACAACTGAATAATACTAACTGTTACCATTCACTATTGATCGAATTGAATTCAAAAATCCTTGGGAAATGTATAAGATTGCTGGTTAATTATATCAACATTATAGAATAAAATTGTAAGTAAATAGCGCCAAACTGTATCTTGTAGGACCTAATGCTTTATATTGGTGCAGCCTATCTATGGGCTGGCAAATGTCTTAATACTTATGGGGTGAGTGGAAAACGCTGAATGAAGCAAAGGGCTCTTTCTAAAAGCTCCTTGGTTTGGCATTTATTATTGGGTTTGTTTATGCTAAGGAAGAAGCTTTTTCAAAACAAATCTGTAAAATACAGTACTCAACAAACGACTTGCCCTATTTTAGGGTCTCTTATTGCATGTTGTAAATAGAGTAAGGAAGGTTTTCCTTGACTTCTCAGACAGAGTTAGTGTTACAGAGGTACTCGTATAGTGCAGTGGCAGGGAAGAGATATAGTGTAGTATTGGGTGTTGCCATAGGTCTTGCTTACAAAGCAGCCAGAGTGAAAATAGCCAGCTGCTAGTATCTGCTACAGTTTTTCACTGGGGAGAGAAGTGACTGCAGAAGTCCATCCTAGTCACTCTCTCTATTCCCTTCAGATCTGTGGCTTTTTGTCTTTTTGTCTTTTACTGAACAAAAAAAGTTAAATTGTGTAACTTGTGTATCTTTGAAGGGAGATTGGTCTGGCTCAGAACCAAACTGAAATCTCTTTTTATCAAACCTTTTGAAAAACTGCAATTCAGCAGATATATTAAACTACCTGGCAGTTTGTCTGAGAAAGACAACTGCGTACTTTAATCAGCTTCAAGCATCTCTCTTCATGCAATATCTTTACAATGCGAAGAGTGATATGATTTGTTCTTGTTTTGCATCTAAATTGCAAAGCACTTTGATAGTGGCAAGACGCTCCTGACTAGATGTTGGCTGTGAGAACTTGATTTAACTTTGCTCTCGAACTTCTGTTCTCCAGCCCCAGTAGGCTCCAAAAAATGGCCGATTATCCAAATCAGTTAAATAAGATTAAAAGAAATCTGAAGGTACATTCGTTGCTGATAATGTAAAGAAGCTGCTTCCCCCACCCTGCTCCTGTTAACATGTTTTTTTTCTTTGCACAGATAGTGTCATTCCATTAGCTCAGCCCACTCCAGCAGTTAACGGAATGTGCTCAGACACTCGCTCTTTGTCCTAAGCTGTAGGCTGACATTAAATAGGATTGCATTTGAATTCTGCACCAAAGCAGATTCTTTTAGGAAACAAAAGTGGAAGAGTAGAGCAAACACCAACATACCAATAGGAATGGCTCCGAGTTTTTTTTTAAAAATTCACAAAAGGAGAAACAGTTCAACCATAATATCACTATATTTATTGCCAATACCGCACTGCAAATGGGTGCCATTTTGTTCATCCGTGCTAATCTCAGTGGTACAGGGTACCAGTAACAGCCAGAGCAACGCTGTTTTGTTAACTGAGTAAACAATGGCTTTCTTTGCAGCTCTCACTGTGAATAGGCGTGGCTTGTTCCAAGGCTCTTTGTTTTTTGTGCATTGAAATGTGTTGGCTCATTGCACTTTTCAATGTCTTTATTTTCCATTTCACCAAACCTAGAACAAAGGGGTGTTTGCACAGGATGGTCCTGACTGCTGGAACCTGACTGTGCTAACAATTGCTTCAATTGCCCTGATTCAGTGAATGTGTTCAATAACATTCTGCCATATGTACACCTTGTTTAATTTCATTCATCAGGGAGTTTTATCCCAGCCAAATATGACTCTTGATACTTTGCAACTAGTTTAACACCAGCATCCAGAGCATCGAAACAGCTTCTCCTACCCTCACACCTTGTCCTTCCCACACCTCCCTCAGCTCACACCTCGTCCCTCCCACACCTCACACTTTGTCTCTCCCGCAGCTCATGCCTTGTCTCTCCCCCACCTCACGCCTTGTCTCTTGCTCATCTCACTCCAGCTCTCCTCACCTCACTCCAGCCTCTCCTCACTCCAGCTTCTCCCTCACCTCACTCCAGCCTCTCCCTCACTCCAGCTTCTCCCTCACCTCACTCCAGCCTTTCCCTCATCTCACTCCAGCCTGTCTCTCACCTCGCACCTTGTCTATCCTTCACTTCATCCAGCCTTTCCCTCAGCTCATTCCAGCCTTACCCACACCTGATAATCACCAGGAGTGATTTTCATCTTTGTACCAGAACATCTAGGAAATTCACTCCTTGTCTCCCTACAGTTGGGGGGGAAGGGGCCGGAGAGACAGGGAAATGCAGGACTCTTCCATTGCATTCCTTCGTTCTGCTTCTCCTTGTGGTCACTATACTATGTTATTGTTAAAACTGGACTTTAACACAAATCAGCTCATGATAAAAATGTGATTTTTGTCTGGCTTTGACTACATATTTTAACCATGTGCTTTTGAATTTTCTTCTGTGGAATCTGTTTTTAAAAAAGAAATGTGTATTCCAAACTACTTTTAAGAGGAAAAAGTTGCATTTTGTCAAAGTTATTTGCTTCTCTTATGATTTTTTTTGGGTGGCTGAAGATAACAGTACTCCCAGCAACTGTGACCGATTTGTTATCTGTGTAATAAGAACTGAATTTTGACATTGTGATTGTGGCTTCAATACCATTCGAAATTTATCTTCTGACAAAATAAATATAAAAGGCTTTCAATTGCTTACAGCGATGATTTTGCATTAAAAGTCTAACATGAGCTTAAGTGTTTGTGAGTGGGCGCTTGTGTTCTAATATCTAACTGTGTTGCTCCCAGTAACAGTGTCACACCCACACACTTACAGACAAGAACTCCTTTCACTTTAACAATCTAACATCTCAACAACCCAAGCTGTACACAAGAAACTCAAAGACATTCATTGTATGCTTGTTTGCCAGGACTTGAACTCAGAAATAGGGGGCTAATTGGGAATCTGTTTGACATCCCTGAACTTCAGGGCATTCTAAATCCTCACTGGTTCCATTAAGTTTTGTTGGAGATCTGGAGCAGAATGGAAGAGAAGAGATGGACATCAATCCACCTCAAGCTGGATCTCCCTCCCGTCTTCCTTTGTGAAAGATTTCCAATATTTGACTAACTATTATTAAAAGTCAGCAAGTCAGCAAGAAATGAACCGGGCTATTCACTGGTAGATTGATCCACTTGTAAGGGTTTAGCCTCTGGTGTGATTTGAAATCGTAAGTACATTGAAATGAAGCACCATTGTGATGTTCAGTAGGTAGTCAGAAATAGATTTTTGGAGGTCAGCAGTATGTTTTGAGATGCTCCAAATCCTATTGTACAACAGGTGACTCTACGGAATTTTTATTTTACAGTTTCTAGAATGAAAATAGACTGCAAAAGAATGCTTTTGGAGAGAGATAGAATGAAATAATATTTTTAAATTATCACACCTTATCACGCCAAAACAGCTCAAAG